ACATATGGGGTCCTAACAAAGGATAAGACTGGGTAAAAAATAAATGAATTAAGTAAGGATCTAAGGCTGAAGCTTGGGCCTGAGTGTCAGAGAGAAGGGGACAATGCCTTAATAAAGAGCAGTTGGGAAACATTGGTGTGAGTATGAGGGATGGAAAACAACCAGGGTGGTTGGGAAGCTCTACTGAGATCTCAGGTCATTTCTACACCAGAAGCCAGTATGGAACAGGGTGAGGCTAAAGGGCCTTTGCATCAGCTGGTGCCTCCCTGCAGAGGTTCACTTCCTGCCCCTACTAGGTGCATGGAGCTCTGGACACAATTCTGCAGAGATTTCCTTTTCAGTGGGATCAGCCCCTCTACCCACTACCTTACACGTCCATACAACAGTTCCCTTCTGCCATAATTCTTACATACACTACGTTTCTATATTAGTTTTTGAGATTATTTGATTAATGCCATCCCCCTGAATATGCCACTCCCAAATATGCCACTTTGACATGGTACTTTGAGCTGAAGGCAAGAGAGCAAAGGGAGATACAGGAAAGACCTTCTAACCTCCCCTTCTGCATAAAAATGGGTCCCTCCCAGGCATAGTGGTGGACATCTGTGCACCAGCTATTTCAGAGGCTGAGACAGAAGTATTGCAAGTACAAGGTCATCCTCAGCAACTTGGTAATACCCTGTCTCAAAAAATAAAAAGGTGGGGCTGGGGTTGTGGCTCAGTGGTAGAGTGCCTGCCTAGTATGCATGAGACATAAGGTTCAATTCTCAGTACCACATACAAAAAAATAAAATAAAGGTCCATCAAAAACAAAAACAAACAAACAAAAAGGGCTAAGGATGTAGCTCAGTAGTAAAGCACCCCTGGGTTTAACTCCCAGTAGCAAAACAATTAAAAAATTAAAAAACAGGTCCTAAAACTTCTCATGATACGTCTTTTTGTCCCTTATTGCCAGTCAGGGAATCGGCGCTGAAATGGACGTGTACAAACAAACCTATCAACATAACTCTCACCTTCCCTTAGTTTTTCCAGTTTCTGTCTCAGTTACTGTCCCCTAATTGACTACCTCCAGTCCAAACCCCTTTCTCTTGTCATTACTTCACAAATTCATCACTCCTTTATATAAAAGGTATCTGAGCTGCCTGCTTTGGTTCCCTCTTGACCTCTTTCTTTTCTTGTATGGATTCCCATATACATGTAAAATTTTAGTAAAATTTGTGTGCTTTTCCCCGTTAACCTGCCTTATGTGATTTTCATTCCTATACCCGTTAGAAACTCTAAGAAGGCAGATGACAAATATTTCTTCCCCTAGACACCATTCCCAGACTGTGAGCTCCTACCAGAGTCCCTTCTGCCTGTGAGTAGGTCTAAATAAAATCTGTAGAAGCATGAATGGGAGGTGATGGTCTAGAATTCAGTGAGCAGATGATGCAGGAACTTGAAATCACATCCTGCAGGACAGGGCTGAAGCAATGGGCAAAATCAGCCAGAAGAGAAGCCTCATGGTGAAACAGAGGTCTCCAAATATCTGAACAAAGAAAGGAGGATGGAAGCTGGGTGCAGTGTGCATGCCTACAGCAACTCAGGCAGCAGGATTCAAAGTTCAAGGCCAGGCTCAAAACTGGAGGTGTGGCTAAGTGGTAGAACACTCCTAGGTTCAATTCCCTAAAAGCAGAGGACAGATTAGCAGTCCATATAAGGTCTGAGGGTTAGAAAGGCAAACACAGATGGGTCAATGTTCCAGGGAGACCCATTCTGCTCAAGGGTGAGAAGAGTTTTCACAGAGCCACAGAAAGTACACTGCTTTGGACAGCAGTGGATCCCTGTCCCTGGGCATGCACAGAGGCACGCGGGTCAGAGGCACGCTGTCACTTGGTAATGCCATCATAGCAGACTTGAACCACAGATGCATATTCATAATAACGAGACTTGAAGGTCCCTCCAGCCTCAACTGAACTGTCAGCTGTAACACTCTTGGGAGGCACTCGTCCATCTGCACATGAATCCTTCAAGCTCTCTCCCTGCATGGCATGCAGCCCCTGCCCTCGGCCTCCCAGACCCATTCTTTCCTTCACAGGCTTCAGCTTCACGAATGTGCCTGACCCCAAGGAAGGCGTCCCCATCTTAACTTTGGTCACTTCTTGACATGTTTGTCTGTCACCTACTGTTCTGCCTCCACAGCACTAGTCATAAGTTTAACTACAGTATTTGCTGCTCTTTTAGTGACTACATCATCAAGCCCCAAAGCCAGAGGAGCATGCCCAGGGTATGCACCACGCCTGACCCTCAGGTCATAAACAGAGTCCAAGAACAGCCATCATGCCTTCCGGTTGCCCTACCCCAACATCTGATGAACTGGCATTTCCCAGAGAATTATTTACATAACCTTTAACACCTTGTTCATACACCCCACCCTGGGCATATTGGTTTGCCCCCATTTCTCGAAGTAGACCATACATTTGTCTGCAAACATTAGCCACGGCCTGTAATGGATGAGCACAGTCATGGAGGGCAAGCATCTAGAGACCTTCACACAGCAACTTGCCAGGCATTTATGACTGTTGACAAAACTTGGATTTCGTGACTTTCCCCCCTGTTTATTCTTATTATATGTTTCAAACCTATCAATCTTTGATATGCTGGGAAAATACCAGGCTGTCAGTATAAATGGTTTGGGAAATACTGTGAGGCAACATTACTTTACTAGATGATTAAAAACAGCAAGTCCTCCCATACTAATTAATGGATTAATATTGGCAATAAGACTGTATAGCCCAGATCCTGGCAATGGGGAAATTCACTTAACCCTCTGTTATTAATTAATTCCGTCTTCCTCACATAGTATGGCTCACCTCAAATATCAAGAGAACCTTAAAAAATACATTGACTGTTTGAGAGACAACAGGAGGCACAGATACAGAGACCAAAGGTCATTTTGACCAAGACAAGAAAAGCACCTTTATATATGAGTCTCACCACTTTACCACTGTGTCCCTGTTCATGTCTACAGGCACCCTGTAATCCTCGTTCACACAGCTTTGAGAAAGGTAAGGTGCACACAGCCAAGGACGAACCACTTGGCTCTAATTGGCATATCACTTTCTTTTGCATCAAATATCCCTTCCCTCACCCCACACCTCTATAAGGAACAGAGTCCAAATTGAGCATACCCTGAATGCCAGCCTTCTAACCAGCACTGAAACTCACAGTTCTGCTTTCCAGCCCCAACTGCCCTCATCACTTTCTTCATTTTTTAAAAAATATTTTTAGTTGTAGATGAACACAATAACTTTATTGTTTATTTTTTAATGTGGTGATGCCTCACATATTCAAGGCAAGCACTCTACCACTGAGCCACAACCCCAACCCCCTCATATCACTTTTAAGATAGGGTCTTGGCAGCTGGACAATCCCCCATACTCCCCTAACTCGTGAAGCTGGCTTTCTCTAAGGCTTAGCCAATGTTGGCCTTTTTTGCCTACTAATCCCCTCCCAAAGACTCACCAGTTAACATTATCATGGCTTCTTAAGATGGCATTACCAGTCTGCCCTTCATCCATTGACCAATCCATTTGGATACCAACAGCTACAATGTTGTAAATCATAGGGGAAAAGTACCCACAATTGCCCCCAAGGACCTCCCAGGCTGGAAGCAGTGAGCATTCCCAGGAAAATACACATCATGGCTGTTGATGGGTGTTGTCCCGGAAGACATGGACCACCAACACTGCCCCTCTCCCACCCACCCTGCCCTGGCGGGACCTTCAGGCCATCTTAAATTCTCATCCTCTGTACTAATTTCTAGTGTAGACAAAGCCTTGTTTCCTCATGAATCAAATCTCTGTCAAATTGTCAGAACGACACAGTAAAAGCAGAACAAGGGGAATCTGCTTCCCTAAAAAGCAGGTGAGAGGCCAAGAGATTTTATTTTTCCTCAGGTTGGTGGTTTCTTTGTATCAAGGCTCCAAACAAAATCACACAAGGCTGAATGGACAGTTGAGAATGGTGCCGCTGTGACGTGCAAGTGACACAATGAAGAAAGCAGCCACGTTGACACGGGGGTGACAAAGACCAACCTGTGGTCTGAGACTCGACCACAGTACCTCTTATATTTGGAAAGACAATATTTCACAAGGTCATCTGCCATTTCTATCATAAGAAAAGGCAGCATATTTGCTGAAATTATAGACTGATTCCCCCCTCCATTATTTCAACTCCATTTTGTATAAAACTTGAGAATTTCAGAAACTCTTTCAAATCAGGCCTTGAATAACTAAGATAATGGAAAGCAAGTGATTTTTTAAAAAGTGATCCAGAAAGAATAACCAAGTTTTTCCAAATTCTGAGTGGTTTTGTGCCACTTAACCTCTCTCTGTCTTGCTTTCCCATAAAGCTGCTTTGCTTTTTGTAAGTCCAAGTCTGAGAGTAAATCACTCCTCAGAACTGTAATTGGGGGAAAAAACACAAAAAGCAACTGTAACTGGGGTTTCACCTGGGATGTTGGCCTCCCACAGGACCTACCCTTCGAATATCTTAGTTCCAGCAAAATAAGGAAAAGGAGGTACTGAGCTGGGTACAGAGATAACACACTTCAAATCTCTGAGGTTAAGAGTTCGTAACAACTTACTACCCACTCACAGCGCCAGTGAAAATCCAGCAGCCACCTTCCAACCAAGCAGCAAAGCCGAGCAGCTTTCTGAAGACAGGTCAAGCAAGGAGGGCTAACCACCTCCAGCTCTATCCTCCCACCTTGCCCTCGTCTCCAACAGCTTCCCTCCAGAAATAACTAAGTGTATGAGCTCACCCACAGGGAGAAGACAGAGGCATGACACCTACAAGTTGCCTATTTATAGAAAGTGTTAACACTTCTTGGGCAAAGACACCAGAAGTCTCCTTGGAAACACCCAGGCCTGTACTCCCTTTGGAATCCCAGTCTGCTGACACTGTGGCTGGGGAACCGCCTGTGAAGCAAACCAAAACCGAGGCATAGAGATACTTACGGTTTTCCCCCAGGGATTCCCGCCAGGTTCGGAGGGATGGTAGGTACTCTCATGTGGGGAGGAGGATCAAAACCAACCTGCAAATAAAAATAAGGCATGGCAGACTCATTTATGCAAGGTAGGCACTTTCTCAGCACTGACTTTCCATTAGAAACTAGTGTATCCCCAGAGCAATATAAGTGGGAACAATATCAGGGCTAGCATTTTTTTTTTTTTTTTAAGAAAAAGTCTAATGTAATTAAGTAACATAATCACCTCTAGACACCACAAGACACACTTCCTTTTGGAAGGTGGAACAGGGGTGCGATCTACTTGTGCAATGAGAACCAGCTTCGGATGATAAATCCTTCCCATAGACTTGATCTTTCCCTAATCAGGTGCAGAGAGAGCAACGCTGATAACCTTCACACTGCTGATGCTTCAGGCCAGATAGTTCTTTTCCTTGTTGAAAGGTGTCCTGGCGATTGCAGGGAGGCCTTTATTTTCAAGTGGCAACAGCGTCTCCCCAGTTGTGATCATCAAAATGTCTCCAGGGGGCAAAACTCCTCAGTTGTGCACCACTTATCTAAGTTCATGCATGGATTCCCTATTTCTGTCTACCTTAACGGCAGCATCTAGTCCCTTTGCTGCCCATCTTTGAACTCTTGCCCTCCACTGCACATCCATTCCGACAAGCACAACAGAAGGAAAAAACAATGACTTTAACATCTCCCCCAATCATAGGGTGTTATGTTATTTTCAAGAGGGGAAAGGAGAGAGAGGTATGTGACGACGGTATTTTAAAATAGCAACAGAGCTTCTGTTTGATACCTAATATTATACACCCTTTCCTGTTGCAATCAGTGACAACAGTCAATTTCACTCTTCAAATGCAGCTGTTTATCTTCTCAGTCAAAACGGGGCCATTTGCATAGTAGCAGAAGGTAGGGCAAGAAGAAACCGACAGCCCAGCCTCGCAGGTTCACGGTCTGTCTTTCTACTTGTTATACACAAATCACTTGTAAGATATGAGCCACGCTATTGGGTGTAAAGAATATATAGACATGGAAAGAGAATGCTATGACTTCTCAAATGTTTTTTTTTTTTTTTCCTAAGGTTTAAATAGAGAGAGAAAGAGAGAGCGAAGAAAAGAAAAACTTAAGAAAATGAATGAAAAGGCTTCTGTGAGCCACTAGAGTCATTTCATCGCCTTTAAATAAAAAAATCTACTTTGGTGGGAGAAAACCAGATGTCCCCAGGACCACTGAAGGAGCTTCTAAACACTGCCTTTTTTCATGGACAAAAACAGTAAAACAAAAAGCGTTTGGGCCTCACTTAATGAACCAGCATGTTGATGAAGGCTGACAAGAGGAGGGCAAGGGTGCAGTGGGAACACTGGCGTCTTTGTGTTGGAGGTGTGTGGGGCCGGCTGCTCCTGCCCCCATAGCCTGGGGAGGCCTGTGTGCCCCCGGGGCTGACAGCACTCAGTGAAGCATGTGGCTTTTCCCACCCAAGCAAAGCCCACCAGCAGTGGCCTACCATTGGGGAGCGCCCGTAGGCCACCACGGCGGCCGCAGCGGCAGCGCTCATCTGGGGTGACATGCTGTGTAAACTGGCGTAAGCGGCGCTGGGGCTGGTCAGCTCGCCGTTCATGCCGGCGTGGGGGACCATCCCAAAGGGAGCAGGGTACGGGCCAGGCACTGCCAGGGGCGTCCTCAAACCGGCGGCTGAAAGGAAACACAAGCCGCATGTCACTCGACTGCCCACTCCAGTCAAGCCTGACCAGCAATTCCAGAGTCATCTGTTAGTGTCATTTGTCATGGGGAGGGAGGAAAAGAGGCTTCCCGGGCAGCAGGGAGATTACCTCTAATTTATACACTGGATCCAATCCTCCTCAGAGATAATTTAATCTCCAGGACAGGAAGGACCCCAGAAGCAAAACCCACAGATTTTCTCATTGGTATATGTGGCAGTGCTGGGACACCAGGGGAATTAATCAGCATCATCGTACCCAATTCAGAGAGCAAACCAAGGCACAGACACTAAGTGTTTACCTGACTTAATCTCAAAAGAAGATTTTCTTGATAAAATCCAAGATTTCTCCTTCAGTCCGAATTTTCCATTCCCTGGTACCAATTCCAAATGAAAACCAAATCCTAGATTCACGTAAACCAAAGCATGGATTTAGGAGGAATATTCTGGTGCTTACTTTCCGTTGGACTCAGGTTGTTACTTTTTTCCTTGCCCAGAGAGGAAAGTTACGAGTTTACTCATGGGCTGGAGACTGAGTGGAACCCTCCTGATTTCTACGGATTCTTGGGGGGTGTGCTAACAGAAAACCAGCCAACCACAGTCAGCAAGAAGCACGCTCTAGCCTCAAACCTGGACGTTTCGGTCAATATTAGCGAAGTCAGACACACAATGATAGTTTGGTCAGAAGCTTATGTACAGAATAATTATCGGAAACTTGACTGAAGTCCCTAGGATTTGGATTATTTGGAAATAAAAGAAAAGCTGAATGTAAACAGTTGGAGACCAAACAGGGTGCAGCTGCTGAGACCCAAGGACAAACATCTGCTTCTTACCGTGCCTTTTTCAGAGACAGGAAGGAGGGTGGTGGCAAGGGCATTTCATATGCATGGGGAAATCACGTCACTAGATTAACAGACAATTTACTGAGCTGGGAGAGGGAGGAACACAACGCAGCATAATAAGAGGCGATGCTCTACCCGCTTGGTTGACGAGGGGCTCCATGGCTGGAGGCTTGCCCAGGCCTGGACGGAGTCCTGGAGTGGCGCTGGTGCCCGGCGTTGGCATGTCGCTCCGAGGAGTCGGCGTGCTGGATTTCAGAACGGGCGTGCTGGCTTTTTCATGCTGGTATCATTAAACAAATTAAATGAGTATTATTTTTAATCCAAGCCATATTACACAATTTATCACAACAGCAGCTGGGACACTGGGCACCTTCTAGCTACTCCCTCAGCCAATTTTCATAAATCCACACAATGTTGACAGCATTAACTTGTGAGCGAGAAATGTTGACCTTTCCTCTTCCTGCCAGAATTAAAACTCGAGCTAGAGACAGAGAACATGATCACACTTCTTCCTCCGCAGATTTTATTTTGAAAAGAATTTTCCATCGGGCTTGTGGACTCAGGCTCTTTGCCAAGTCAAAATGATGACCACCCAGAGAATAACTCCCAGTCCCTTGGAAATGTGGGCACCAGCCACAGGAACATCTTAAGGGAAGCTCCTTTCTCTAATCCTGCCTTTGGGTAGCCGCAGAATTGAGACTAATGACGAAAGACAGCGAGACCATCAGTTACGTGAGAAGCAAACCAGCATTTCAGAGGCAAAAGCCCCAGAACAAGCTTTACTAAGAAGAATACCTTTGGGGGTAGGTTTTGCCACCCACCTACCTACATAACGCATGTGGACCCACCAGTACAGGCAGGGGAGACTTAACACCAGCCTGCTATCAGCACTACAGGAGGCAAAACAACAACAGGGTGGCAGGACAGTGTCTTCTGCCTCTCAACTTTTCAGGACCCCCATGGCAAAGATCATGGGCCAGCAAGGGACCCCAGCACTCTGTCTTGCACCTGGTAGGCTGTGTGGTGCAGCAAATTCATCATCTTTCCTCCCCGTACGTAGGTGACATGGGGTAACAACTGGGGGACTGTGTAAGGATTAAATAGGGTGGTAAGGGACCCTTATGAATGAAGAGATGACAAGCTTTACAACATTTGTTGAAAGAATACACTACCACACAGATGGGCTTTGATGCACCCCAACACCACCAGTTTTTTCTAGGCCTCCTTGTGTACATCACTGTTCTAATGAGCTCTCTAATATCGGGCATGCTCCCAGCAAGCCCCAACATGATGGGACAGTCTCCCCCAGTAAGTGCACAGCTTAACAAAGTCAAGACTTCCTAAGATCTAAGAGGTCTGAACTATGTGCCAACTGGTAAATTTCACAGATTTGTGTCTCTAACCACGATTCATAAGAGACTACTACAGAAGAAAAAGTAAACACACTGACTCAGTAAAAACAAGAGAAGGAGTTTTGCTTTTTAATACTTGAAAATATAATGCTCAGCCGGGCTCAGGAGGCTGAGAAAGGAGGATCACAAGTTGGAGGTCAGCCTCAGCAACTTAGCATGACCCTAAGCAAGTGAGTGAGACCCTGTCTCAAAATAAAAAATAAAAAGAGCTGGGGATGTGGCTCAGTGTTTGAGAGCCCCTGAGTTCAATCCCTGGTATCAAAACAACAACAGATATAACCCTCAAACAGCAAAACCCTGACTTTCAAATTTTTTTAGTGTCCTCTGGTCCACAAAGAAAAATGCACTGCCAAATAGGCTACCAATTTTCTTTACATACCAAGCTCATTTCTTTGGATTTCAAAGAAGTAGAACTTCCCGAGGAGGCAGTGGAAGCTGGGCTACTAGAAGCATCTTTCTTCAGCAGGCGATTTTTGTCAATTCCATTTTCCCGAGGTGAATGGGCAGGACTTGCTCGTGGAGAAGAAGGGTCCTCAACAAGTAGAATCAAAAGTTTTCATGTTTTAGCTTATAGCAGACAAACTTTTCCACACTAATTCTCTAATTATAAGAGAATACTGGAAGTCCTTTTGATTGGAGTGGGGAGGGCATGACATGCCTAGTGATGTTATAATAAATGAATGAGAAGGTGTCTGCTGAACACCCATGAAAGTTATCATAAAGAAAATTATCAAATTCCTCCTTGTGTCCAAGTACTTTCCCTAGAAGTCACTGGAAAGAGGAGCCAGACACCCAACTTAGAAATCCAAAATAACCAGGGCAACAAATTTCTTTTCTTTTTTTTCTTTTCTGTTTTTTTTTTTTTAATGGTGCTGGGTATCAAACCCAGGGTCTTGCAAATGTTGGGCCAGTGCTAGAGCTATACCCTCAGCCCAGACTTTTTTTTTTTTTTTTTTAATAAAGGGAATAATAATTTATGTCAGTTAAGACTATTATTGCTCCATCCACATACAACCATTAGGTTCTTAATGAATACAAATGCAAAAGACACTGTGGTTCTACTTCATACATTTGCTATTGGGCTTTTCTCACATTAGAACTATGCAAGTTATTCTGAAGATACACTTTTTGACAAAAACAATGATTACCTCATTGGACACATCCACAACTAAGTTGTCATCGCTTTTGTCACCATCGCTGTCCTGAAAAAAAGAAATTTTACTGTCTCATGAAGACTAAGAATGGATGTGAACATAGTTAAACTTCTTTCTATAGTTCTTGGTGGCACACAAGCTAGAAAACTACATGGAACATGCCTGTGGGCTCACTTCCAGATTGCCAACCCTTCCCATTAATACCACCTTCCCCTTCTCATCTGACCCGAAGCTATGCAAAGCTGCTCTCAGAAATTCTGCTGCAGTAGCAAACCAGCTCTCCAATCATGATTTGCTTACAGGAGAAGGCAAGTTGCAAAAATATGGTGCACTATAAAGGCATAATAAATGTTTTCAATAAATATCTAGATCTTTTCTGTGATCTAAAATCTTGCTTATAATCTGATATCTGCATACCCTTACATGCGCATTCTTCTTCCATTTGATTTTCAAATTAAGTACACAATTTCATGTCATTATCTTTATACGTCTCACCTTGAAGGCAGATGGCCAGCCAATCTGGCGCTCATAGACAATTCATACAACAGACACAAATTCACTTAACCCATTTTTCCATGGGGTTTCTAGTTACAGCAGAAAACAAAAAAGATCCAATCTCATGTCAAGAATAAACCTCTTCAGCAATCAGCTTTTCGGAGAGATGGAAGGAATACAGATGGCAGTGTTTGGAGGGCATTGCCATTCTGCAGTAGGATTTTTATTGACTCTTCAATAGAACTGTAAAATCTGCTAATCAGAAGAAATTCTGGGGTTGTACTGAGTTTGGAAGAGATTCAGAAAAGCTGCTCAGTTAATGATGTGATGACTCCTCCATCAAAGTTTGGGGCAGGCTGTAAAACTCTTGTTTTTTATTTTACTCAAAAACCCTTATATCCTTTAGTGCAGAGAAATACAATAAGCATGTGGAAATTAGGACCTCTTGATGGGTCCAAATTCTTAAAAAATAAGTAGAACCCAAATTTATGATCTAAACAATTCTTTTTCTGATGTCACTGTCATTAGGATTATACAAAGAATATTTGAGAAATGTTAATACATACAAGTGCAAACATTACCCACAATGGCCTTCCGTGAACCCACAGTCCAAGCTAGTCTTCAACTCTAAATTCAGATCTCAAATGTTGTTTCCCAACCATACCCAGAACTGCACGTGGGAGACCCTATTCACTTTCTTCAATAATGTGTTAGAAGATATACTTTAGTCATTGTTATGAAGGCACCATGCAATTCACCAGTAACAACATAAAATTACAACCAATGAGGAAGCCGGGGTAATACAAAATAACAGTCTATTCAAAAAAATGTTTTCATAAAGAAGAGAGAAAAACTAATAATAAAGAAAATTTGTTTTCTCGCAGGAAAGCCCACAGAGAGCCACAAATGTTCTATGGTGTTAAGTGTGTGGCAAAAGAATACAAAATAAAAGGGTTTCCCTTTTAGAAAAAAAAAATTATAAAAATAACTGTGCAGTATATAGGTTAAACTGGTTAAAAAGTAGCAAACAAATTCTTAAAATATTACTCTTTTTAACATTAAAGAAAAAATTTATTTTTCTAATTGACACATAATTATACATGTTTACATGGGGTACATGCGTAGTAATTCAATACATGTATACACTGTGTAATGATCAAATTAGGATATTTTAGGACCTGTTGTCCTACCTCCCTCTATTCCTGAGCCTCCCTGCCCTCTCTAATGGAACTCTGAAATTAGTTTTTCAAAGGGAAATGCACACATGGGACATCAGCACTGGGCAGCAGATAAGGGGAGAAGGTATGTATTAAAAAGCTTGGGCTGGGGCAGGGAGAACCAATGACTCTGGTTCTTAGGATATTATTACACCATAGTACAAAAAGGACTGATTCGAGGAACTGTGGAAAAATACCAATCCTGTGTGGGACTAGATGTAGGAATTTTGATTAAGAGCACAAATTTTGGTTGAGTCAGACTGCCTCTAGGCTCTGCCACTAGCCAGGACCTCTGGCAAACCACTTTGAAGGTCCAGGCCACAGTTTCTTTACGTATGAAATGGAGATGACGGTAGCTAACTCATTGGGTTACAGTAAGAATCCAGTGAAATAACCCATATAAAAACACAGGGCAGCTGGAACTAGTTTGAACTGGCGCTCAAGAAATGTTACCTGTTGCTAGCTATTGGCATGAGCAAGCCTCAGAAGGTCAAGGCCAGTGTTTAAACTTCCACAGTCTGCCCAGTAGACACTTCTTCCACCAGGGATGACAAGAAGTGGCCCAATTCAGGATCCTACTCTCATATTGTTCCTGAGAACTCACTGGTGGAGACATGCAGGGCAAGTCCAAGCTAAATCATGGCAATAATGTTTATGATTCCAGGGCCAGAGCCAATGGCCACTTGGCCTGACTTGCTCTCCTCTGAATGTGACTTCTATGGATCTATGTTGAATTCTCGTCCGTCAACCAGGTGAGCGATCTCATCTGCAGGGTGTGAACTAGATCCTCTGATGTTTCATCTGTTTTTACCACGGACTAAGATCACCCACTGCAGAAGACCATAAACTCTACCTTAAACCTAACATAAGCCTGGATATTTTAGCTGAAGAGCATCTTGAAAAATATTCTGTGCTGCCATTTTTTTTTTCTTTTTTTGGTACCAGGGATTGAACTCAGGGGCTAACCACTGAGGCACAACCCCAGCCTTTTTAAATTTTTTATTATTTTGAGACAGGTTCTAATTAAATTGCTGAGGCTGGCTTTGAACTTACAATCCTCCTACCTCAGACTCCTGAGCCCCTGCAGTTACAGGTGTGCACCACTTCGCCTGGCTTCAAATTTTTTACTCTATTTGTGCATAAGTGGCTACCAAATTTGCAAGGTCCAAGACAAAATGAAAATGCAAAGCCCTCATTCAAAAACTGAGATTTCAATGATGGTAGGATGAGACCTTTCTAGAAGCAGGGCCCAGTGCAGCCATATGGTCCACAAAGCCACACCTAAATTTTCAAAGTCCCTCTGGCAGATCACTTCTTGAACTTCTGGCTAAGATTAAGTGAAGAATAACTAAGACAGTTTAAAATGTAAAATTAAGTCCAAAAGAAGCATAATTTGCAGCCCTAAAGGAAAAGAATATTCTATAATATAAGAGTTTACCTCTTTTTAATGTTTTCTTTTGTGTGTATGCAGGCGACAGAACCCCGGGCCTGGCACACTCAAGGTAAGCCTTAACACCACTGAGCTATATACATTCCCAGCCTTTTTTTCTTTGTCTTTTAATTTGAGACAGGGTTTCATTAAGTTGCCCAGGCTGATCACAAACTTTTGATCCTTCAGTCTCCCAAGAGGCTCAGATATAGGCATGTACTACCATGCCCAGCTCTGAACTTACCCTTACCTTAAGGGATGTGGAATTATAATGGAAATTCTAGATTACACTTAGACATTCACGTAGAAAG